TGTGTGTGTGTGTGTGTGTGTGTGTGTGTGTGTGTGTGTGTGTGTGTGTACGTGTTAGTTATGTATAATGCAATGTACTGTCAAAATGTAACTAGAGTGTTCTCGTTTTTTGGGGGCCTACTGAAGCTTTGAAAATCGTATAGGTTTAACAACGCCCCTTGCAGTACTGTGTAGTTACGTTAGAGGTGGCACCTCTGAAGTTAACAACTATATCCCTTGAGAACCATGCTAATCGGAAGTTCCGTGTAAAGTAAATTTCCCAGGGACACATGTCGGACCGAACAGAGCCTCAAACCCCCAACTGAAATCTCATGACTGCGAGTTTGGTAGCTTAAAATTGAGTGCGCACTACCCATCAAATTCGTCTGATTCTGTCAGTCAGCCAGATTTTTCTTCATGGAGGGGCAAAAGTTGCCGTTTCGGCACAAAACGACCAATTCGACTCGTGGCCTTGTTGAATTTTGTCAAATTGCGTCAAAATGGCTACTTTTGCCCCTACAGTAAGGAAAAGATTACTAGACTATCAACATCTGCAACAAATCGCTACCTCAGAATTACAAAGTTCTAGAAGCACAGTACCTAGTTTTGAGAAAAGTGACGTCAAAGATTTTGAGTTTTTCATCATATCAAGCTTTTTCGAAAGCAGTTTTTTGTGTAAATATTTTGATAGCGGCCCCGAATAATCTTAAGAATTTGATAGAGCAGATAGAACATTTAGTTTCTGACCTCATGGTCGTAACAACTCAAACTGTCAGATAGAAACTTTGTAATTCTAGATGGCGAAGCCTATCAAAAGTCTTCTGAAACACCTTGTTCATTCGCTACACGTCAAAACCCCACCCTGGACATTCAGACTGATAAGATCTTTTAAATTTTCTTCAGGTAATCATAGATTCATTTATTATGTTACAAATTATTGTAAACCTTTAACATGTATTTGAAAAGTTCTTTTGATTGCCGCAGAAGTAGCGGTTTCCTTCTTTCTATCTTTCTGTTTTTCTGTCTCTCTTTCTGTCTTTCTTCCTGTCTGTCTGTCTCACTTTCTTTCGTTCTTCTTTCTTTCTTTCTTTCTTTCTTTCTTTTTTTTCAAGAACAAAATGTGTGAATCTGATTAAGTACAACTGCTACAGATGTACGATGTGTTGTCTTTGAAGATAACTTCCAGGTGTAATCATAATGAGAAGTAAACACTTCTAACAGTGGATCGTTATTTCAGATTCTAAAGCTTTGACTTCTTTCTTCTTCGTGCCTTGTCACTCATTGTGCAAAAAAAAAAATGCAAATTTCGTCGGTTAGTTGAAATATAAAAAAAAAACGTGAGCGTAAATGTTAGCTCAACCGTCAACGAGAATTTTCTGACTCTTGTATTGGTCAAAGAGACACAGAAGGTTAAACAAAGTTTGCTGTCACGAATAAAAGAGGATGTGATCAGTAGGGCTAATGAAGGAGATGAAACAGGTTTAGCTTCTTTGGCCTTTGTACAACGCAATGTCGCAAGGACCGCCCTATGATCCAGTTGTAAGTAAGGGCCTTGGAAGTTGTTAGTGGGTCAAGTTTGTGAACTAGAGACATAGTTCGTCAACTCAGATCGTCACTTTGCGCAGCTGCGGGCAGGGAGATGGAGCGGGAGGGAAATGAAGTTGAAGCTTTTCCGGTAGTATTAATTTATGATCTGTACCTTCGGGGTACACGCGACACACCCGTCTCTCTCTCTCTCTCTCTCTCTCTCTCTCTCTCTCTCTCTCTCTCTCTCTTTCTGTCTCTCTTCCCTATCTCTCCCCCCTCTTTTAACAGTATTGAATATTTATCAATTAATTATACTTGTAAAGTATTACGTCAAACTTAGGTAACACTGACAGCAGCCCCATACTTCCCGAAGCCTGACACCCAATTGCGATGCTCCGTTTTGTATTTTTTTTTCTTTTCGTTCGTGTTTTTCCCCTACGTTTTCGAAAATAAAAATGGCCTTAGCTTGTTGAAGACAAGTTCGCGGGCATGCAAGCAAGTGGGTTGTTGTCCATGGAACTTTGGTGCTGGAGGATGTACTGAGCGCATGGTGCGTTGGATCTGTTTAAGGATTGTCGAGTCTGGTTCAATGGTCCGTGCGTCAAGCGGCTGAAGAAATCCTCCCAAGGAAGGTGAAGTGATGAGCCATATTATTATGCTACACAAGCTCAACTGAAGAACAAGCGGGGCCCACTCGCCAAGAGGTGCGAATTTCCAACTGAGCCATGGATAGTTTTACCACCCAATAAGGATCTTTAGTGCGTGATTTGAGTGCACCTTGAGCTGACGGTGGAAACGTTCCACCATGCCCTTTGCTTGGGGGTGTTGAGCTGTGGTTGGTTGTATCAGTCTCAATGCCTAACATCTTGTTCCATTTTACCCAAAGATTTGAAGTGAACTACCTACAGCGGTCTGAGATATCAAATGTATTTCTGAACTTGAAAACTGGTAACTGAGTGATGGCTGAGAACTGTAGCGCGTGTGGAAACCGGAGCATCTGGTAAAGGGATAGCTTCTGGCCATCTTGTGAAATGGTCAATGATGCTGAAAAGATAGATCTTGTTCATGCCCAGGCATGTTGGTAGATGCCAAACAAGATCTACCTACAGGTTGAAAAATCTGCTGTTAGGCGGAGAGTGTTCCACTAGTGATGCACTTGTGTGTCAGTGAATTTTGAACGCTTGACAAGCATGAAATTCTTTGCAGCACTTGCATATGTCACGTCTCACTCATACCATGCCATACAAAACGCAGGCTGATCACTCGTTAAGTGGGACGTGCAACTGCATGTGAGAGTACGTCAGTGTGGCCAAAGACTGGACGAGACCAGGAGTTTGGTAACAGCTACCTATGTATACCAGTGGGTACATCCCAGAGCAGGACCAATGTCCCATGCTCAACGTCTTGTAGCTGAAGACCAGTAGAAGCTTTGGGGACTTGAGATAGGCCTCTATCCCACTAGATTGAATCTGGTCTTGAGCGAGGTGATTGAAATCACCCACATGGGCAATGTGGTATTCTCTTCCCACTAGATTGAATCTGGTCGTGAGCGAGGTGATTGAAATCCCCCACATGGGCAATGGGTATTCTCATCCCACTAGATTGAATCTGGTCGTGAGCGAGGTGATTGAAATCCCCCACATGGGCAATGGGTATTCTCATCCCACTAGATTGAATCTGGTCGTGAGCGAGGTGATTGAAATCACCCACATGGGCAATGTGGTATTCTCATTTTGAGTTAGTACTGAAATGTGAAAGAGTGTTCTGAGCCACCACGTTGAACCTGCCGAAGGTGCTGGGCGTCAATGGTAAGTTCCGCAATGTAAGAAAGATGTCTTGTTGGTTGCTGGGAACGGTTGACCTAAGGGTTTGTGTGTGTTTGTTTGTTTGTGAGTATGTTTACTTGTGTGGGTGCGTGTGGCTGTGTGTGCGTGTTTTTGAGTGTGTGTGTGTGTGTGTGTGTGTGTGTGTGTGTGTGTGTGTGTGTGTGTGTGTGTGTGTGTGTGTGTGTGTGTGTGTGTGTGTGTACCTGCCAGACCAGGCTGACATAGTTTCAATCTACCAGCAATCACACGGAGATTATATTTGATGATACTGCTCCACACACTCACACGGATCGAACCAATGCTTTCCTCATGTCAAGTCCCAGCGCCGAACGGCTACACCAAAGACTCCGGTGCTGCGTTAGTGAGAACGTGTGTAATTTCAAGGGATCTTCTTTAAATTATTCAAATTAATACGCTTTGTTCTATTCACTAAATGTCTTTTCTTTTCCAAGAGAATCAATAAAAATGGTACTTTTTAACAACACATTTAACTGATGTTATTTAGAAGTTCCTCTCCTGTACTACATTTAGTTCTCATCTATTCTGGCCACCACACCGTGCAAACGAAGCAATCCTCTTTTTATCTTAATTAAATACAATCATTTTATAGATTCTGACGTCATTCCGGTGTCTTTCTATTTTTTAAAGATAGATTTCAATCTCAAACCACTCTTTATTTTTTCATCTTGGACATTTTGCCGAAAGAAGAATCTGATAAGTGGTTCACTAAATTAAAACGATTGGATTACAAGTTAATGATACTTACAATAATGCAAATAATTTCTACAGCGCCTACTCCCTTACAGTACAGCTCTTTGTTTTGTTTTAGTAGAAGTTTTACGACGCTCCCAACTGCATAAGGTCATATGAGAGCCAGAAGATTAGAGGTGTTACAAGAGAGTAACAAACATAAAAAGAAGGAGGGGAGATAAGGACGATAAATGTTTAATAGGAAAGAAGAAGCAGGCCACACCAGGGCACCCGCCAACCACCCACTAGTATAGCTCTTACCGATTTACAATACCTTCTTCTCAACACAAAGCACTAGTGAATGAACTAGCGGTATGACTTATCAAATTATGTATTCCTGAATCCAAAAACCAGACAATCTTCAAGGCGGAGATTTTAAAAAAAACGAACACCAGAAGTGCACGCAAGCACGTTTATGAACAGGCTGTTCTTTCAATTAACCCTGGAATAACTGTGAACTTTTTCAACGCATGGCACATTCTTCTGGGCAACACCACCTGCGAGTGGGCGGAACTGTATAGAGAGACATCGACAAACAATAGATCTAGATCTACAGCCCATTCTCAGTAAATACACGTTCGTGCGTGTGTGGGTACGCATATTATACTGCGTTCATACCTAAGTATATACATACGATCATACGTACATAGGAAAATACGTACGTACATGCACACATACGTAAGTACGTACATACATACGTACGTACGTGCATAAAAAATACGTTCGTACATACGATCATACATACAAAAAAAATACGTATGTACACGCACACATACATAAGTACGTACATACATACGTACGCACGTGCATAAAAAACACGTTCGTACATAAGTATATACGTACGTGTATACATACGAACGTGTATACATACGCACGCACACAGACAAACATACACATATATACATACATACATACATACATACATACATACATACATACATACATACATACATA